CTCCTACTCTTTCTCCTCTTCCTCCTCGTCCTCCTCCTCCTCCTCCTCATCAACATCATTTCCTTTTTCCTCCTCTTGTTCCTCCTCCTCCTCTTCCTTCTTCTCCTCCTCCTCCTCCTAGTCCTTAATTATCCTCACTGCGTAAATTTCCTTCGCATTCTACTGCTCCTTCCCCTCATCTTCTTCTTCTTCCGATCCCTTGTATCTTGCTCTTCAGCAATCCAGCTACCTTGTCCTACTTTTGCAAAAAGCCCGAGTGCAAAAATTACTTTTTATGGTTTTGTGCGGCTCGCTCAATTTGTCTTTCTCTTTTTTCATATAGTAGGCCTGTATTGTAAGGCTCCACAGGAGGGCTACCACTGACTTTATTCTTCACATACTATAGACCTCATTTCGTTTAATGCAATTGGTATATGTCAAGATGGTGAAGGCTCCAAAGCTGAATAGGCACTCCTCAGGAATATGATGCTAGGTTAAGAAAAACATGTTCCAGCACGTAAAAGAGATGAGGATTTTGATGTTATTATTCGGGTTTTTTACTTTTAATAATTGCACTGGCTGCACTATCCTCTAGAGCAACTAGCAGTTTCACTTGACTGATGTACCTGATGTGGGCAAACCTCTAATTACACAGAGATAGAGGTCAAAGGATTTTCATCCTACTTTTTTTATTCGGCTTCCGATAGTGCTAATTGGGAAGGCAGTCTCTGCTACTTCTTGAGGACTTGACCATTAATTACAGATTATGTTTGTAATTTTTTTCTTAACGTTGAATTGGGGGCTATAGGAAACCCTGTATTTTCTTTTCCGACCCTCAGGAAATGCTTCCATCACTTAATTAACAATGGGGTTGGCAAATTTGAGTAATTCGTTTGGCTCAGCTGTGAAGAACTCGGCGACCTTGGTGGAATTCAAACCCATGACAGTAACGAAAAGGCTTCGATATAGCCAACTTTATTGGTCAGCAAGCTATGGGGACCTCCCAGGAACTGTAAATTTAATCACATTTGAATCACTTTACCTGTTCAGCCTACTGCAACCTATGATACAACCAGTGATAATACAGTAATCTGACTTCCCAAGCAGAATTGCCATAGCAAGCAATACGAAATTCACGAGATGACCACCAGGTGTAAGTTCTTGGTAGGGAGTGTTGACAGATTAAAATATTTCATTTGACCGATTTTTGCAAAACATGGTGGCCACAAAGGCACACTGGTCTATTAGTTAACTCAACATTAGAGTTCTTTTTAGTAAAAGTGGCGTCAAAATTCGTAAAATGTTGTAAAGACAATGAGTTTGTTAAAAGATATTGCTTGTTAGGAGGGTCTGACAGGTTTGCTTAATTCAGTTGACTTAATTGTGAAAAATTTCGCGGCCCCAGTGGGAGCCGAACCCATAAAGCAGAGGAGGCTTTTGCGCAGCAAACGCTCTACTATTGAGCTGCGAGGCTCACCGTGCGTCGTGAATTTAATCACATTTAGATCAATTTTACTCGCCCAACTTATCGCGCAAGGTTGGCCTTGTAGCTCAATGGTAGAGCTTTGGCTGCGCAAATGCCTTCCCTGCTTTATGGGTTCGACTCCCACCGAGGCCGCGACTTTTTCACAATTGGGTAAACTGAAAAGACACTGAAAAATTATTCCATAGCTCAATTAGATAAATATGTATTCTGCATCCTTCCTTACTATAGGCTTACCCAGTGGTGTTTATGAGGAATCCCTGAGAGCAAATATCACGGATATATCATAAGTTAATAAGGCTTCAAAGAAATAGGTCCACTTCGAAATGCAAGTTGAAGACGATTATGCCATAATATTCTCTGACTGGGCTTAGTAAGAATAAATGGGCAAGCTCGGAAAATTTAATTTGTAAATGAGATGGTCTAAAATGCTATGCACTGCCTGGTAATTAGGGTTGATGTACTGAGCTCGTTTCATACATAGTATATATTGGGAGGAAAGAGGAAGCCTTTGGCCTATAACGCTAAGGTAGGCTGAAAGTCATTTTACAAAATATTCCAGAATTATCGACGAATTAGGTTGACTTATAACCGTGCAGTGACACAGTCGGTACCATTAATCTCTATAGGAGGATTAAGTAAAGGATAACTATTCTTTTGAATATAGGTGATGACAGGGTGTCCAAAAAGGTAACCCTCATTGCAAAATTAGACTGATGAGACCAAGCGGGAAATTTTCGAACAAAGTTAGATCATTCTTAAGCTACTGAGAAGCCTAGATGGCTAATTAATTATTTTCGGCAGTTTAGCATTTGCGAAAAATGAAAGCTAAACAGCAAATTGTGGTTAAATGAGAAAGCTCTGGCCGTATGCGCAATCGAATAACATTCTTAAAAATGAAATCAGTACAGGATGAGTGAGAAATAGAGATTCTGGCAACATTTATAGGTTACAATCATGGTCGAAATTAGTTTATATTTGAAACACCCCTTTCAGTTATTATCATAAATGTGAACCACTTAAATTTCAAAAATCATATTTGGGAGTAAACACTCCAGAGTTTTGTTTTTTTTAAATTCTTGTACGTTGAAAAATAGCCTGATGATTTTTATAATATTTTGGTGAGCATTTCTGGATACAAATAAAGACGAAGTTTGGCGAAGTTATTAAATTCATATTGCCTAAAATGTAGGTTTATATGTGTTAAGGGAAGAATTGTAGGTATATTTAAAGTAAAATGCAGTCACCTGCATCAGAAATGTAATTATAAGGTAAAACCAGAGGAGGTTTGGCAGATTTTAATAATTTATTTGACGCATTTGCACAAAAATCGGTGGTCTCGGTGGGATCTGAGCCCAGATCAGCAGGGGGAATGCTTTAACACAGTCAAAGCTCTACCCAACGGAGCTACGAGGCCGCCGAGTTTTTCAAAAGTGGATCAAATAAATTATTCAAAGCTGCCAAAATCCCCTACTAATTAATTACGCCTGGTAGTCATAATCTAGATCGATTCCTAGGGACCTCCTGCTTGGATAGACAGCCTACTGTAGCACAATTAGTGGCTTATATACGTTGCAATAGGCTAGACGGATAAATTGACCGAAGCGTAATTAAACTTACGAC